TATAAAAATAATTCAATTCAAATTTTAAAATCAATATTTATACGTAATCCTTATCATTTTGTTCATATATTTCTAGCTATTTCACTCCCGGCACCGCGGCAATACATCTTGCAGCGCCACTAGCAATAATACCGGAATCTCCTTGGCACAAGAGATATCGAACCTGAAGAGTGTTGATAGCCCAATCTTGAATTTCGTAGTTGTCATATATGCCAGCTAATCCCATTGTCTTACCATGTCGCCGACATGCCTCACTAACGCTTTCCAATGCGGAACGAAAGATTGGCGTGTGGAAGCCACCTGGTACGCCCAGTTCAATCGCCAGATCATTCGATCCGATCAGGATCATGTCAACACCCTCGACGGCTGCAATTTCATCGACTTTCTCAATGCCATCCTTCGTTTCTATCATAAGCACCACCGAAGATGCGGATTTGTTGGTTTCATTAATGACTCGGTCATGCGATGTGGCTTGGAGCGAAAAGACAGGCAGCTGGCCCGTCATCGACCGACTACCAAACGGTGGGTACTTGGAGATGGAAACCGCAGCTTTGGCATCTTCTGCTCGCATTATTCAGTCCTGGAGATATAACATGGTGGGCCTCTGTCATCACATGTGTACTTACGGGATGAATGTATATGAGGGAATATTATGCCCATCGCACCGCCATCGAGGACTCGCTGCACCAAGCCATTACCGCACTGGTATGGAACGCGGACGAAAGGCGTGATCCCTAAGAGAAGGCCCGTACATGACAATTGGCTTGCATCGTCAATAGACAGCGTTGAGTGCTCCAGATCGATGAAAAGCGAGTCATATCCGGCGTTCTTCGCGAGGTGAACGATCTGGGGGTTTGTAATGAGTCGAATTCCAAAGCTCTAAGAGAAGAGATCAGACGTGAAGGAATGAAGGACTCAACGCCGGGCTGCTGTAGAAATATTTGTGGCTCATACGGTCGCTGGATTTCCTCAAGCCGAGACGTAACTCACCTTGCACAGATCTCCAGCAGCACTCTTAGTGAGTAAGTTGTTGACGCAAACAACCATTGTAGATATCAAACAGTACCGAGAAGGACCAGAAGGGACGATGGTTTGGATTCAGGATTGATTGATTGATTGTTTTCCGTTCCTCGGGAGGGGAGAACTCGCATTGGGTAAACTGGGTGTCTGTACTCGCATTTTGTCGGGAGTATTACAGTAATCATCTCTCTACGATTCGGAGAATTTCGGCTATATGGCAAACTCTCTCGTCATTTCAAACGAGCCCGTCAGCATACCCAGTCAGTACAGGACAGGACAGTATAGTATAGGGCGTCGAGATGGCCTTCCCAAGAGCCTGTTACTCGGATTTGAGTGGAGTTCCCACATAACGCATTCCTTTGGTCGTGCTGTATTGCCCCTTCCACGGGCTTCAAAGTTTCGCACCTTGCATTTCCAAGGCGCACCAATAACTCTACTGTGTGCTCTGAATGGGAACGTACAACAAAGCAATCTTTTCTCTTCCTCTTTCGTGCTTATAGTTTTCTTATTTGTGGCCTCATGTTTTCTTCTTTTGGCCCCTTGTTGACGTTCACACTCTCTGCTCTTTCATACAATGCTCCGCTCTGCTCAGGCCAGTCTCCTGTGGAAGAAGGTTATCTCCCAACCTCAGTCCTGTCTCCCACTCTCCTCTACTTCCCCAATCGCTGCCTATACCCTCAAGACTACGCGGACAGTGGCTTCAAGTATCAGACATCAGAGCATCGCGGCGGCTGTCAGGTCGCCTCCTCCGCAAGTACTAAGTATTAAGTATTCACGACCTCCTTTTCACGCGTGAGTAATGTTATTGATCAAATATCAGTCAGTCGTTAAAAACCATTCTCAAAGACCATGAAAATGTTCAACCTCTGGTTAGCCCTCGCCGCAGCGAAATGGATGAATCGTAAGTTTACCACGTCGTTTCCGGCAACACTAATTTTACAAATCACATAGGTTCATTGGGAAGACAGGAGGAGAAATATTTCATGAGATGATGATTAGACATGATGTGAAGCATATCTGTACTCTTGTCAGCGTGCTGCTATGGAAGCAGTCGCTAACCGCTATGTAGTCGGCTACCCTGGAGGCGCCATTCTCCCTGTGTTCGATGCCATTTACAACTCAGACCAATTCGATTTTATCCTTCCAAGGCACGAGCAAGGTGCTGGACACATGGCTGAAGGGTATGCCCGGGCTTCTGGAAAGCCTGGGGTGGTTCTTGTCACTTCTGGACCGGGCGCCACCAACCTTATCACTCCAATGGCCGATGCTATGGCTGATGGAACTCCAATGGTCGTTTTCTCCGGCCAGGTTGCCACGAGCGTGATAGGCAGTGATGCTTTTCAAGAGGCTGATATTGTTGGTATGTCCAGGGGCTGTACCAAAGTATGTCAAATCCCTATACTAATTCACTGTTTTCTTGTATGAGGGCTCTGGGAGCCGGGAGCCGGGAGCCGGGCAGAGCCGAGACATATTGCAAACGAGAGCTCTTGAGACAGCTCCCAGCTCCCAGAGCCCCTCACTTTCGTTTCGATGTTTTACTATGCTAACTCGTTTGGCAGTGGAACGTCATGGTCAAAAGCGTTGCCGAATTACCCAGGAGAATAAACGAGGCTTTCAAGATCGCCACCACTGGAAGACATGGGCCAGTACTTGTCGATCTCCCCAAAGATATCACGGCCGGAATCTTGAAACATGCTATTGCTACGAAGTCGACTCTTCCACAAACATCTAGTGCTGTGATTAGGCGTGGAGCCTCTGAGTTCAATAAGACTCAGCTGGACCAGTGTATCCAGACTGTGGCCAATCTCATTAACATTGCGAAAAAGCCCATCATTTACGCCGGCCAAGGTATTATTTGCTCTGAGGATGGACCCGAAATGCTCAGAGCCCTCGCCGACAGAAGCTCCATCCCAGTAACGACTACTTTGCATGGCCTTGGTGCTTTCGATGAGCTAGATCAAAAGTCCCTCCATATGCTTGGGATGCACGGATCAGCCTATGCCAATATGGCCATACAGGAAGCGGATCTCATAATTGCACTTGGTGGCCGCTTTGACGATCGTGTGACTGGGAATATTGCCAAATTTGCCCCGGGAGCCAGGGCAGCAGCTGTTGAGGGCCACGGAGGCATTGTCCATTTTGAGATCATGCCAAAAAATGTTAATAAAGTAGTCCAAGCAACCGAATCTGTGGTGGGCGACGTTGCAACCAACCTCAAGGTCCTTTTGCCCAAAATTAAGGCTAGGTCGATGGCAGATCGACAAGCATGGTTTGGCCAGATTGATGCCTGGAAGAAAAAATGGCCCTTTCACTACGGGCGGACCGAGAGAGCTGGGCTGATCAAGCCTCAGACTATAGTGGAGGAATTGAGTAAGCTCACAGCTGATCGAAAACAGCAAACAATTATCGCCACGGGTGTAGGTCAACAGTACGTCAAATTCTGCCCTTGTCTTGTATTCAATCTGGGAGCCGAGATCTTCGGGACCATCCTCGAGAGCTGTTCATCAAAGAAAATGTGTCACAGCTCCTCGGATGTGCTTCTCGGCTCTAGGAACTCTATCAAAGTTACATACTGATTCGTCTATAGTCAGATGTGGGTAGCCCAGCACTTCCGCTTCAGATTTCCCCGCACTTTAATTACATCAGGCGGCCTAGGGACAATGGGATACGGCCTGCCAGCGGCTATCGGTGCTAAAGTGGCACGGCCTGATGCACTCGTTGTCGATATTGACGGTGACGCTTCGTTCTGTATGACTTTGACCGAGCTATCAACGGCTGCACAGTTCAACATCGGTGTCAAAGTCATCGTGCTCAATAACGAGGAACAAGGTATGGTAACCCAATGGCAGAATTTGTTTTATGAAGACCGCTACGCCCACACGCACCATAAGAACCCCGACTTTATGAAGCTTGCCGACGCAATGGGTGTTGAACACAGGCGGGTAGTGAAACCCCAAGAGGTTGTTGAGAGCCTCAAGTGGTTGATTAATACCGAAGGTCCTGCCTTGTTGGAGGTAGTCACGGACAAGAAAGTATTAGTGCTACCTATGGTCCCGACAGGAGCAGCCCTACACGAGTTTATTACATGGGATAGCGGTAAGTGTTAGCCTCTGACTTGTATTGATGTGGAAAGAGACATTGCTAACAAAGAACAACAGCTACGGACAAGAGGCGGAGTGCGTTGATGCAGGAGCGTACATGCGGCCTTCATGGCTAAGGAGTGCGATTTTGAATATCTCTATGATATGTTTTGAGCTATTGGAGGTCACTCACAACGAAGCCTTGCCTTCTTATTCTAAATACCTATATCTCTTTGTAGCTGATGATCTTGAATTTGATACCGAACATGTCAACAAGAAAATCAACAGAGATCTTTTTCATCATCTTTGCATCGATTACTATGTCTTGAGTCTCTAAATACTTAAGCGTTACTCGTCTAATGACACTGTTACAGCTGTCGCTGGATATAGAAACTCAAATAAACTTTTTCAACTTTCAGAACTTGTATTTATTTGACAATAGGCTATTGTATGACATTCTATGAAGCCGGTGGGTATTTAAAGATGGTTCTTCAAGAACGAGTCTCTTTCTTTCCCTTATCAAGACTTGAAATTACAGGGAATAGCCATATACTAGTCTTATTTCTATCACCAGAAGAGGACTAAGCTAAATAACAATGAAGTAGAGCAGAAGGGCAGTGGGGCATCCCTCTGAGCAAGAGATGTCAAGTCACCTGATGCCCTCGTAACGGAGCAGGAGCATGCAGAGGTGTAGTGCTGGATAAAATGACAAAGAGCGACATGCTTTGTAGATGACACAAGAAATAAGGAAGAGAATAACCCAGGCAGCCCGAGCAGGGAGTCGAGGTGGAAGTGGGTAAAGATGGGAGATTCAGATGTAGTCCAACAATTGTGGTCTTACTGAAGCAGATAGCGGGCTCTTGCAGCTTGCTGACCCCGAAAGGTTCCGATGCTCCGAAGAGCAGGCTAATCTTTAACCTTGCACCATTCTCCCAATGATCGAATATTCCTTGGTTATGATTACTTGCTCAACACTCACTTCCATCACCTCTCACCTTTTTGGATTTCTCACTGATTTGACGGAGCTTTGACGACTTTACAATGTCGCTTTTCGAACACATTCTAGAAGGGGTACCGGATAGCATTTTTGCCATGATGGAAGCATTTGCGGCTGATACTAACGACAAGAAAGTAAACCTGAGTCCCGGTATCTATCGTGATGATAATGCAAAGACATGGGTTCTCCCCTCGGTACAGAAGGTAAGTTATTAATTCATACTCGTGTTGTCTAGAGATCTGATCCCAAACGTCTTGACTGAATTGCGCCGCGAATTTGTATATTGCTTCAAAATTCCTGCATAGCCCCAAAATACAATGGTTTTTTGCTCACCCGCGAGCATCTTTTGGACTAGACAAACGATACTGATCTTCATCAGGCGAGAGAAATCCTCGTGGCGGATCAAAATCTCAACCATGACATCTCACCCCAGATGGGCAATCCTGATCTTGTCTCCGTAGCGCGACAGATCACATTCAAAGACACACTGAGCAGCCGGATTATCACCTCGATGCAGACCATCTCAGGCACGGGTGCTAATCATTTCATTGCACGTCTCCTGTCTGACACGCTTCAACCCAAAACCGTATGGTTGTCCAACCCCACATGGGAGAACCACCCAAAAATATGGACACACGTCAATTCTGCTATAGAGCAGCATCTGTATCCTTATTATGACTATAGAACGTCTACACTAGACATTGAAGGAATGATCTCAACTTTGAAAGAGAGAGCTTCAAGAGGAGATGTTATCATTCTCCAAGTGTGTGCTCACAACCCAACCGGCTTAGATCCTTCGATGGAAGACTGGGAGACGATTGCAGAAGTTTGCGAAGAGAAAGGGATCTTCCCTGTCCTAGACTCAGCTTAGTTCGTCTCACGCAACGGCCAAGGGGATGGGTGATTTTGTGAGGTTAGCTAACTCGCGTTACGTTGACAGTCAAGGTTTCGCAACGGGAGATGCTGACAACGACGCTTGGGCTATACGTCACTTTGCCGCACGCTCGAGGGGCACTATGGAGTTTGCAGTCACCCAGTCTTTCTCTAAAAACTTTGGCCTCTATGGAGAGCGAGTCGGTGTTCTGCACATTGTCACGCGTACGCGTGGCAGCGCAGCTAAAGCCGAATCAGCGCTGAAGACCCTCTCACGTGCCGAGATTACTTCTGCACCAGCCTTTGGGGCCAAAGTCGTTGCGACAATCCTCCAAGATCAGGTACTGAGGGAGCAATGGCAGGAAGATTTGAAGACCATGAGCGGTCGGTTGAGACATATGCGAAAACGCCTGTATGATGAGCTAATCAAGAGGAATACGCCAGGGAATTGGGCTCACCTCTTGACAGATGTAAGCATGTGGAAACCTTCGTCAAGCATGAATAGCAAAGTCACTCACTCACAGCTGCAAACAGATTGGAATGTTCTCCTACATGAGGCTATCTGAAGATCAATTGGCGATTCTAAGGAACACATTCCATGTCTACCTTCTTCCTAGCAGTCGACTTTCATGGACTGGCTGTGAGTGATTCCACGAGAAGTTCCTACTGCCATGCGTGATTTTGCTAACATCTTCTCCAAGTGACGAGTAGAAATGTCGAATATGTTGCAGAATCTATCCATAAAGTTGTGACATTGTCGATGTAAACAATCGTTAAGCGCTTCGAGATACTGTAACATGATGCACATTCGTACTGGAATAAAATATCGACGTTATAGGGACAGGTGCGACGTTTGTATCTCAGCATGAAAGTTCCGTTATATCTTCATAGGACTAAATCCAAAATCTTTCTCAAAAGAAATAACTAGATCAAAAAAGATGTGGCCCGGCTTGGTCAAGCTTTTGGGCTAGTGAGGTCAATGTCAGACAACCTAATTTGAGTAGAATCCTTGCTGTCAGGTTTCAAGCAGAAATGTCTTGTGATTAGGTTATTCATTTCAGGGAACACAACAATTACTACAGGCAGAGTAAATCTTTAATGGATAGAAGCCCACCACGATATAGCACAGTACATAATTCCTTTGTGGCTTGTCGGCGTATATGAAACATACTCTTGAATCTCCATGCCTGCCTGGTACTTTCAATATTTCATTCAGACTCACTTTTTCTTCGGACTGCCCTGAACGCCATTATCACAGTAAATGATGGCTATTCCGCATTCACACAGTCTCTGCCATAATGATGGATGCAATGGCATGATCGTCTTCCGAGGGAGCGTTGGTATTCAGCTGAGTTCGCTGTAGGGCGACATGTGCTTTACCGGTTGACGTTGGAGCCATGGCCGAAATACTCCGAACTTCTGCGGCTGCGGAGAACATCGAACTTTTGTCTTCTCAATAAAACTGAATCTCATTTCTTGTATATTCTTTTACTACTTTGAGGGAAACTGCAAGAATGTCATGTTAATCGAAGTGACACAATCTTCATTGACAGCGCCACACAATTATCCAAACATCCAAGCTCCTACTTAACTCACCCTGTCCAAGAATGTTGCTCTGTGAGAATGTTTTGTACACCAAGGCGGCACGTGGAAAGTTATGTAAAGTGAGTTACTTGATATACTACATTATCTCCCAGTCATCTATCCTCCGAGATTCTTTAATGCAAAGAGACGGTTCGCGAGAGACTGGGCTAAAATAACCACAGGCTCTGGTGCTCAGACTTGTGACCAATCCACTCGTCATCCAGTTTGCTAAGAATGCCGGCTTTGACGTCCTATGGATCGAGATGGAGCACTCGACCTACTCCATCACAGAAGCAAGCATCCTTTCAAGTGCGGGGATGATGGCTGGCTTGACTCCCATAGTCCGTGTACCGTACCAGTGTGGAATGGGGTTCGTGCAGCAGGTTCTCGATTCTGGTGCTCTAGCAGTCGTCTTCCCGCATATCTCCACCGCCGCAGATGCCAAGGCAGCTGTTAAGATGTGCAAGTTCCCGCCGTTGGGAAAGCGTTCGCTATGGCTTCAGCAGGCTGCCGTGGGTCTGAAGACGATGCCGATGGAGCAGATGGCTTCTGAGATCAATGCAGAAGCGTCGGCAGTGGGGCTGATGATTGAGTCTGCCGACAGTATTCCGAATGTCGACGCCATCGCGGCAGTTGAAGGCGTTGACTTGCTCATCGTCGGCTGCATTGATTTGTCCACTGACATGGGTATGCCGGGCACGATCGATGCACCTGAATTCAGAGCTGCTTTAATGGCCGTTAGTGAAGCTTGTCGCAGCCACAACAAGATTTTTGGGCTGGCTGGTAACTACAAAAATCTCCAATTCCTGGATTGGGCTGTCAACACATTAGGAGCGCGCTTGATTCTGGGCCAAGTAGACTCGAACATCATCTCTGTTGGGGCAGCAGAGTGTGTGCAGAACTTGAACACCATTGATCGAACCGCTGTGTCTAATAATGGATCTCCTTCCAATGGATTCTTGTCCAACGGAGGCGTGTTGAAGGTTGCTTCAAACGGATTTGTGTCAAACGGAGTGTCAAAGGGAGGCGTGCCGAAGGCTGTATCGAAAGGAGGGGTGTCAAACGGAAGTGTGTCGAATGGAGTCGTGTTTAACGGAGAGACTTTGGGGCACTATAAGTCTGATTTAGCTTTGCCCTGCAATTGGAGAGTGCTGCCAGGTGGCTCGATAGAATTTCGATTTCATCCCTTTCTCCGTCGTCAGAACCAGGAATATCTTTGGATGTATCCTTCACGTAATCGATCAGCCCATATAAAATCTCCTCCCAGAGGTCTTGCCCATTGTTGTATGCTAGCGTTAGGCACAGTGACATCTCATGATGGACTTAGTTGAGCTGAGCTGTTCGGTCACTGGCATCAGGAAAGTTGTCTGCACCCCACGTACGCTCCTTGATCTTTTTGGGGTCCCAGTGTCGAGCTTCCGAACGCATCTTGTTGAGACTATTGATGTGAAGGTCTGCCGGAAGCGTGGTCCATTGATCTCGGAGCTTTCGAAAAGACTGTGGTGCTTTGGCCAGGGTTTGCGATGATGCTCAAGAACTCCGGCAATGTTGGAAGCGGCAGTAGCAAACATATCCTCGTTTATGCTTCTCCATGTAACGCTCCCTTTTCAAGGATCCCTGTTCTTCATCATCTCCCCCATCTCCATAGGTGCTCGAAGCTCATTGTAACAAAGGACCCCCAACAGATTGACACACACGTATTAGATACTCTTTATTGAGTAGGGTGATGTGATCGTAAGTATCCGTGGCCCCGAGAAGACTCAACTCCAGAAAGTTCATCGCATTGAAGGATTCGGTAAAGTCATCAAATGTCAATTCACTCGGTGGAGCTTCTTGTCTGCCTTTCGGCTTTTCTTCGATCGCTGGGATAGGAATTAGTCCAATACGATGAAGGTATGAAACATAAAAGGAACAAAGCGTCATAACTTCATGATCCAGCAGGTTCGGCATCGGATCGTACTCTTCAGCTTGATAGTCCTCTTCGGCTTCATCGTCTCCAACGGCTTCAACATCATCTTTGGGTTCATCGTCTTCTCCGGCTTCATGGGCCTCTATCGACTCAATCGGCTGGTCGGGATCCATGCCATCCGAGATGTCACTGGATTGGGATGATGAGCTCGTGGACATTTTTGCTGTTATGGTGGTAGCCCTTGAAGTTGACGAATTGTGTTGCGGACGAGTTTAGCGGAAGACGAATTTTTTTTGAAAATGAACTGACTTGAAAGCCGAGTAAAAGTGTTCACTAGCGCGAAATGGAAAGTCAAAAATTCGCATGCTAGTATTTATCACTTTTATACCTTTATTTAAAAAAGGTTTACTCGGGCTATAAACACGTGATTCGAATCTTGTAGATTTTGAGGAAACATATTTGGCTGTGTGTAAATTTGAGCTGTGGAGACCCATTATTTAAAAGTTCAAGTTCAGCTCCAACAATTTCTTCAGTTGCGTTAAGGCTTCCAACATCGTACGACTGTTAATATCACGGTGGAATGTCGGACATTGAAAATGAACTAGCATTGATACTTTTGACTTTCAAGTGTAGATACACTAATATTTATGTCAAGTCTTACAAAGGCTACGTAGTATTTTACATCCTTATTGCAAGACTTAACCTCAGAGTCAAGAGCTTAGACTTTGCCTACTAGCGAGCTAAGTTGATACCCAGTGCTTTAACCTCCGGTCAAGTTGATTCTCGCCAAATCCTTCTAAACAACCATGGCTGATACTTAGTACAAATAGGTTGAAAGAAGGACTTGTCTAGCAATGCAAGAAATGGTATAATTTGTCGGGCAGCTGTAATCAACTTACTTTACCTAGCTACCTATTGCGACCTATGCATCGTTAGTCACTTCAATATTGTCTGCTCACTACGCTCACCACAATGCTGTTTACTGTCTGCACACCTGAGTACTGTCTGTCCACTGCAATACTCTTTGCCTCAATCCTACTCATTTCCCCAGATATGTAGTATAGTAAGTGTCTAAGTTAGTGACCGAGTAAGTGAGTAGGTATTTAGGCAAGTAAGAGGAAAAGCAAAGTGAACGAATAAGTAAACGAAAAGTAAAAGTAAGCAAGTAAACAAACATCCCACTAGCGCGGAAAACTCCAATAAAGCTGAAACTTCTCCTTCAACCCCCCAGCCTTCTCGTCGCTCCTCCCCGTCACTACAAGCCGAATATTTAAATTCCTACCTTCTCCCTCGCTTCTTTCAATACTTTTCTCGACACTTCCCCACCGACGAATTACCTCTCCAACGCAACCATCCCTCCAACACAAACATCCCTTCAACAGTCCATCCTCTCATCAAACCATCCCTTCAACCCTTCAGCCATCCATTCCACGACCATCCCATCGACAAAACTTCCCAATCCGATACGTCATCCATTGATCCATCGGCTCGAGTTCAACCGATCAAAAGCATCCCACGGACCTTGCCTGCCTCCATCAACCGGAATAGTATCCATCGTAGCAATGAGCGACAACAAGGACAAGAAGACAAAGTTTAGGTTCCAAGAAAGGATCTTACAACTGCAACAACAGAAGGCCGGTCGTGCTGGGAGTGAAGGTATGGGCTTATTTCAACCAGCCGATTACATGATTCGATCTGACACCAATAGAATCACCATCGTTTCCTCCACCTTCTCCACCCCAGCCCTGGCCCTACCGCATGTCAGAAGACGGCTCCACCACGCCTACATCCACCTCCAACCAGGCCAAAGATGTATTTCAACCTCCCAGGTATCATAGTACGATATTCAGTTACTGATTGGTATACTTTTTACAGAAGACGAAGGATCCATACGGAGAGGAATACGAGAATGCGTTGGCTGTGAAGCAGAAGCTGGAGAAGGAAATTGCGGAGCTGAAGTCGGAGATCACGGATATAGAGGACGAGATCATACACTTGGATCTAGAGCGTGGTTGCATTCGGGAGAGCAATGAGGCTTTGGAGGCATGCCGTGTACTATGTACCCTTGATTGGCCTCCATGGAATGGCTTCGTAACTGCGATGGAGGCACTCAGCTTGCTTGAGCTTTTGACAGAGAGAAAGGAACCGGCGACCGACCGACCCCTTTCTTGACATCTCGCTTAATGCGGGGTATCGAAAACCTCGCTTAATACAGGGGTTTCCCGTATGGATGGATGAACTGGTGCCCGAGTCAACACGAAATAATGATCTGTTTGGAGATCAGAGTGCCCTGAGTTTAAGAATGAAATTGAAATGGCTGTTTGCCGCTCTCTATCAAGACAATCAGTTTCGATCAAGTGCACGGCCGATCTTTAAACCAGAACTGCGTCAAAGTGACTACTGTACATTCATAACTACGTCCTTCATAATCACTGTCTATGTGAGCGCGATAGTCATGAAATTCATGACGCAATTGATGTGTTGAATCAGGTCCTTCATGTCCTTTTCATCCTTCCATTCCCGTCCAATACATGCCCAAGATATACTGAGGTTAGACGGACCATCAGACAACAAATCTGTGTTGATGGAATCTTATGCCACCACGAATTCGAGCACACCAAAGTCATCAAAGTCAGAGTTGTTGTTTTGAAACTCGGCTGCCAGACGGAATCCAGCCTGCTCCGCCAACTCGCTATACATGGCCGCATTCCTCCTCTTGCCTGCTGCCATCATAAGAGCGATGTCTATACCAACATTCAGGGCGATACGTTTTGGGTTGAGCATATCCTCGATGATCAGAACACGTGAATCGGGCGCAACTGCCTTTCGTACACTCTTAAGGGCTCGAATGACATCCTGGTCTGGAAAATCGTTGAGGACGCGGCGGAATTGGTAGACACAGGCGCCCCGAACTGATTCGGGATAAGGCTCAAACATGCTTCCTCCTACAAGCTGCACTTTCTGCAAATCGTCTGGATTCTGATCGAGGTTTTTTCTCGTGTTCTCAACCACCTGTGGGAGATCGTACACAGCGCATCTCTCTACCGAAATAAATGAGTAGCTGCGAACGATGTCGCGCAAGGCCAGACCATGACTCCCACCGACGTCCACAACCGCGAATCGTGACCCCGCAGCGAGGGTTTCCTGCAACCACCCGAAATCGTAGATACCCTTCAAGGAATACATCTCTCCAACCTCCCTGAGAGCTTCATTGAATCCCTTATGGACGTCTTTGTCACTAACGATGATATCGTAAGCGGCCTTGTCCTCATGACCATGAGCCAAACCAAGGGGTGTGAAATTGACGCTGTCAGGCGAAGCCAAGCCATGCTGGGCGAAGAAGGCCGGCAGTTGAGCAAAAGAGCGAAAGACATTGTTGAACATGTGAATCCACATCCAGGCAGTAGGTTGACCAGACTTGTAACCGCGAGATTTTTCCGTGTGAGCAACGCGGCCCGGAGCTGGTGAATCGAGAACTTTGCGTGCCACTAAGAAAGCCGTGATACGGTCGACTACCTCATGTGTACCACTGATTTTCTCCGCCAACTCAGAGACAGCAATGTCCCCTTGATCCGGGATTGCATCCCATGCTCGGTAGTCAATAAAGACCTTGGTGAGCGTGAATTCTGCGGCAGACAAACAAGGTGCTCCGACTTCTTGATACACTTTCTGGATACGGGCACGAGCTTCTGCTTGTTGGGCTGCCATTTTGATCTGATGTTTCTTGTTGCTGTTGCTGGTATCTTTCTTCTTGGCCGCTTCTTCCTGAAGAGTAGCAGGTGATTGTGATTAAACCTCTTTACTAAAGCGCCGAATGGGTCTTGCAAGTGAAGTCGTACCAGCATCGATCGGAGTCTTTCGGAAATCTTCGGAAATGGCCAGGATAGTCGTTTCTCATGAATAAATTTTGACGAGAACAGTTGGGAGACATGGTGCCGTCTCGACTGTATTTGGGCATTCGGGGACCCCGAGAGAGAGAAAGAGAGAAAGAGAGCACGAGCGAACGAACGAAAGAGAGAAGAACAAGAACGACAGAGCAAATCCCTGAAAATGGATACTATTGCAACGCAGACGCAGAGTGCTCTCATTGGCGGTCCTAACGGCGATATTATACTCTCCACGTCGACTCCCGTCCCACAGGAACCGCTTCGAGATGTTGAATTGGCCGTGGAGATCAAGGCCATCTCGCTCAACCCCGTCGATTCCAAGATGTCAGGTGACTTCCTCACGACGGGAGCCACTCTGGGGTTTGATGCTGCTGGCGTGGTGACAGCTGTGGGCTCATCTGCCTCCCAGGACTGGGGTTTCCACGTGGGGGAACGTGTCGTGGTCGCGATCAATGGGATGAATCCCCTACGGCCAACCGTTGGAGGATTCGCTGAACATACCGTGAGCTACGCATGGGGAACCCTTAAGATCCCCCGTCACTGGAGCTTTGCGCAGGGCGTGGGCGGCATGGGAGGGAGCGCCTGGCTTACGGTCCCCTGGGCGCTGTTCCACTCCCTGGGCCTGCCTGCCGGTCCTCAGCTGGAACCCCTCCATAGCCGCTGTCCCCCACCCCAATTAGAGCCCCCAGTCAACATCGTCACCTCGCACAGCAGCAACGGCAGCACTAAGCCACCAACAACGGTTCTGGTCAACGGAGGAGGCAGCTATACCGGCAACTGCGCGATCCAACTTCTCAAGCTGGCGGGGTATACCGTTATTGCGACGTGCTCGCCACACAGCTCTGATTTGGCGAGGTCCTTCGGGGCTGATACAGTGTTCGACTACGCCGAACCCACCTGTGCAGCCGACATTCGATCTCACACAAAGAATTCATTGCGTCTGGTCATCGATTGCATTGCAACCACCGACACCATGCGTCTCTGCTATGCTGCGATGGGCCGAGCCGGGGGCCGTTACGTCGCCCTTGATCCCTTTAATCCGGATGTTGCAGCCTCCCGTCCCGTAGTGCGTGCCTCCTGGGTGGTGGGCATGGAGCCACTCGGCGATGAGATTGCTTGGCCGGCCCCATATGGCAGGAAAGCGAATCCCATGGCCCTCGAGTTCTGCCAAGCGTGGAATCCCACCATGCAGGGACTTCTCGACCGCGGGGTCGTACGTCTCCATCCACAGTGTGTCAGGGATACAGGTTTCGCGGGGGCATTGGAAGGTCTAGAGGAAATTCGCCAGAAGAAGATCTCAGGGCAAAAGCTGATCTATACCTTGTGAGAAGGGGATGCAGAATACCGTACTGTAAATGTTGGAAGATAAGATGGCCTTGTTCCAGAGTCTGTGAGACAATGCAAATGAGCGAAGTCCCAATTGTGAACGAACGTTTGAAGAATGAAGTGGTGCAAGAACGATGTGAATTCCCCTCTACAGTATCTCTTTCGAGTCGTTGCCTTCTCCATCCACAAAGCCACCGCCACCTCTATTCTTCTGTTGAATCAAGTTTGAGTTGAGTGACCGTTAATCTGGGTTCGTACAGTGTCACCTTTTGACTTGTATTGTCCCACAAGTTCTAGCACAATATTATGATCTGATGCTTCAATCTGCACGGTAGGCGGTTCCAGTCTTCGAATATCGTTTTGTGGGGCAGAAAACAATAGTCTTCTTCAGCTCCAGACATCGTTCTGCAGGTCCTCTTGCTGACCGACCACAGCTTGAGACTCCATCTCATAACGAATGTTCATATTTCGTCACTGTCTTCTATTATTGTATCCATCAGAAATGGCTTACAAAGTAAATTATAAATTCCCACTTACAATGTAGTGCAACGCCACCTTCTCATTGCCTAGGTCGTTTACCACAAAAACAGAAAAAGAGACCCTGAAATCTTCGGTGTGAGAAAAAGCTTAGTTGCTTAGCTGCATGATTCGGGACAGTACGATGTCAAGTGTCGTCTTGGTTTACTGTACAACCACCTGATCGGGACCGGGTCTAGAAGCAAAGGTCTCCAACATTCTGCTTTGATAGGCTATGCCAGCGCGCAATTGATGTAAGCTTCTCAAAACGTGGACGCATAGACTGCTTGCCATTGACCAGCATATCTCGTTCTCGGGAGTTTTCCCCAGAGGCGCATTGCTGACTGCTTCGGCGATTAAAAGCTTATATGCGGCTCTCAGCATATTTCGGGCTTAGTTAAGGATTTTATTTTAAAATATTATATTTAAATATATAGTTTATGAAATTCTTTTTATAAATATTATAAATATTATTTTATAATATATATTTTAAAATATATATATATTAAAAATTAAAATAATATAATATTAATAAAAAAAATTTTAAATTTATATTAAATAAAAAAAAATTTTATTATTAATATTATATTAAAAAATAAAATATTATTATTTCGATAATAAATAAAAACTTCGTATCTTTAATAATTATCTTGAAACTAAATGCTTATGCTAATTATTAATATTCAAAGCATTGTATTTAATCAGATCGCGATTAGATTGCTTTGGTTCTAATGTGCCTCCTTTATGCTGCATGCGCCGTGAACTTACATTCTCACTGTGCATTTTACCTCGCATCCTTCCCCAATGACCAGGAACATTTATTAAATCCTTCTGAGTTAAAATCACGTCAGTCACGTCAGTCAGTCAGAGGAAACACCACTCCTGGTCGCTCCACCGTACTTCACCTCTTTTGATATAGGTATGAATCCTTCGGTCTTCCGCCTTGTTTCGGTTCGCCTATAAACTCTTGGCGATGACCTGCCAGCTCTTCTTCCTGACACTGCCTCAACGGGATCACAATTGCTTGCTCAGATGCCATCTAATGCCGAAACCAACTGCAGCGGCAGTTCTTTGCTGTCCCTCCGGATGTCGTGCGACCGGTGCCGGACTCAAAAGCTTAAATGTTCCGTACCGGCGGATTCAAGCACATGTCAACGATGTCAACGGGCAAGAGTATCGTGTGTTTTTGGACGACGAAGTTCATCGGAACGCACATTACGCAAGGCAACGCACCGAGCCGATCAGTCAACAACAGCATCCACCGCCTCTCCAGAGCCGCAGCAGCTGGTGACACCCTTGGAGCCAGAGCCCATGCTGTTGAATGCTCCCGAACTCAAGCTCAGCTCTTGCAATACTCAACCCAACTGGAACGATTTGACTCCAGACATCCACGGCCTGCTCCCAGAATGGGACAGCGACATGGAAAGCTATGATCGACTACAGTCCGGGCTGGCCTTAGACATAGACATGTTCATTGCAGGTCAACCCGACCTCACGCCGTGGCCTCAACTACCTAATCTTACGTCAACTACGAGCTGGCCGGTGGATGACCTTGCATCAGCCAGCAACACCGTCAGTACAGTTCAGAGCAGAGACGCTGTTTTGGCTAGTCAACGACTCACTACTCTCGTATCAGAGATTCAGCAGCAGTTGAAGATGCTGGAGGAGAGCCGATGGCACACAGACAGTGTGGGCAGCCTCGATGACTATCCAATCGGCACCGTTCTTGAGCTTTCACAACAGTTCAGTGCCATCGCTGGACCAATTCTCAGCTGCAGGGCCTCCGAGTTGGAGGAGGTTGGCGACGAGGAGAACGGGAATGAGAAGAAAACAAACAATGCTGCTGTAGACACACCGACATTGCTGCTCGTCATGTGCGGCTACATCTGGCTCGTACGCACTCACTGTGTCGTCCTGGGACATTTTCAAAAGCACTTGAATTGCAGGCCTGCCCTTCACCCATACGGGTCGATCAGCGGCAATCGCAGCCCAAGCACTATCATGAGCCCAATCAGTGGTATTACCAGTACCACGGCACCGAGAAACCCAACGTTGCGGTTGGGTCAACTCCCTTGCGCAGACATGGCCCTTTCACTGCAACAGATTTATACGGCCGTGGGGATGCTGCTCGACGTGCTACACGACATCGAGGGGCATCTGGGACGTGGCGCAGCTGTAGCTCGAGTCATGGCTGCAACCTCGCTGCTGGACTGGGGGAGGCGGCATGATGGTTGCTATAGTGGTTTGAATAAGAAAGCGACTTCTGTAAAAGAGCTCTTACGAGAGAAAATGGGACTTTGATATATGTCGGTAATTTTGCGATATGAAAATACAAAATAGAAATTTATAATTTAAAGTTTAAAATTTAAAACTTGAAATTTAAAACATAAAATTTAATATTTAAAATTTAAAATTATATTAAAAAAATCAATTTTATAAAATAATTATTAATAATTTAATAATTTAACTTTATAAAATTATAATTAATAATTTAATATATAATTATAATTAAAAAAAAATTAATAATTTTTTTAATTTATTTAAAATTAAACACGAAATTTTAATATTAATTGTATTGATTTAATTTAATATAAATTGCAAATTATTATAACTTTAGTAAATGCAAAGCTTTAATAATATATTTATTAAAAACGTTGAGATTGCTCCGTCGCGGAAGTTGAGCGTTGGTTTGGGATAAAAGAGTCTCTTTCAAAGCGATCAGGCAACTCCCCCAACAGCGCAGTGCTTTGCATCTAATTCTGCTAACATACGGTACCTGAAATAAGACTTTACTATGGATTGCGACATCGTAGTGGAATGCCTCAGTACTGGGGGCAGAGTACGAATTCCTATTTTAGCGAGCTCGTTGTTCTGAGATAAGTCTATCACAGAACGCGAGGTGGCAATGAAGATAAGAGAACTCTATAGCTTAACTACACGCTGTAATGCTTCCACAGCTTGTGGACGGTCCGTGGAAACATTCAGTATAATTGCTTTGTTTAGTCTCTAAACTCCTCCATCCAAAGGATGAATGTCTCGGACTCTGTGATGACTTTCGGCAGGTAAAAGTCTGTTTCCTGGGACAGACTTTGGAGATGGTATGATGTAGAATACCAGGCCCAGTGCATATCACTAGGAAGAAAATTGATAGTAATTCAGACGCTCTTCTTCTCCGAGGGAAAAACCATAGGTTCAGTGTACGTGAACGTGATATCAGCTCAGTCTTTACTAGAAGCTTGAAGATACTGCGAATGTTCTCAGACACTTGTGTACTAATTCGTAGTTCGGTAAATACTATAATCCTATTAATTTAGCCAGATTTATCCGCGAGTGTGCCACGACATGATTAAGTGTGGTGTGGCGAGGTGAGGTGAAGTGTGGACCGACTTTTGCATAGAGCAGCCTGGCCCAGTTGATCAAATGAGGCAATGATTACGTAAACTCTTTCATTCCACATGCTATAGAATTTCCATGGCTGTCGGCGTGGACAGACTGTACTCCGAGCACCTCGTTCCACCAAAATAGCGAGGCAATCAACTTTAAAACCGAGAAAGTATTTTGCTTCGAATTATCATATATCCGTTCTCCACTCCTCTCATTCCATGCTATCTGCAGAGCCTCTAAGCCGTACATCTGGCTACATAGCCACAGTATTGAATGATCAGCTGCAGAGCCTTCGTATGGTGTAGCTTAGCTGCAGAACATCAGGACGGTATAGTTAGTTACAGACCAAACAAAATCTCAGGCTTGATATCGAAGCTTCAGGCCGGTATTAATGTAAATGTAAGCACAACAATTTTGAAGCTCAGGATTCGTACAAGCTGGCTGGCCGAATGTTTCCGATATAATGTTGGCGGTAGCGTGCCCCTGAGTTAGCCGAGATTTGCACGTGACTGGCTTGCGTACAGTCTACCTAGGTACCTTGGATAAATAAAATTAAGTGCTTTGGAATCACAACTCAGCATATTGAAAGAAATGCACATATATTATAAGATAGGCTACTAATACAATCGCGAAGTTATGTTGAATTTCTTCCATCTCTATCCTCTGCCCTCTAAATTTCAACAGGGAACTTTTCTCGCAGCCATTGACCACAGAAGTAAAAAAAGAACGGTACACCAATGAAACCAACCGCAATGAAAGCCAAGAGGCTGTTTCCCCAGCCCAAACCAAGGTTTTTGTACAGAGATGGCGCCGCGAGAGGCAGCAGACAACCAATGATATTGCGCAGCAGCGTCATAGAAGCAAGGGCAGATGCAGCTGCCTGAGGTCCGAAGACATCAATGATATATATCTGAGATGACGATGTAATCATCACGACACCCATACCGGTGATTGCTGTTCCAATGATAGGTACAATCCATTGTACCTTGTAGTAGGCGGTCCAGCCGTATATGAACAGGCCGACAGGCAAAAGGGGACAAAAGATCATGACCAGAATCATTCTCCGTTCTACACGGTATTTCCCATCTGAACCACCATCACGTACCAGACGATCGCTCAGCTTGCCAAAGACAGTTATGCCAATAGCGCAGCCAATGCCGATGCCGATGTATGCTAGGCCAGAAACACCAACGCTCCAGTGATAGGTCTCTTCGTAAACGACTGGAAATGTAGAGTAGAAGAGCATGATCACACCAAATATGAAGGCGATATAGATCGAAGTGAGCAAGACAATAGGTGACTTGAATAGAAACTTGATTGGGCGTTTCATGGCGTGAATAACAAGCTGCGAGACAGGAGTTTGTTTGTCGCCAGCTGCGCGCAGGTTCGTATTACCTGTCTCGTTCCGAAGACGAGTGGCCTTGGCTTTAAGAATCACAGGTGCACACGTCTCGCGCATGATGATGAAGGACAGGATTGAGACAGTGCCGGCCTTGTTTCAATGTCAGCTTTAACCCATAATTGGATGCTTGGAACAGTTTATAGAAAATAAAGATGGGCGTGGTGAAGGTACGCATGATGAGAAATTTACTTACGAGCATCAGAATAATGTAGAAGGTCCATCTCCAGCCCTTGTTCTGTGTAACGAATCCTCCCACGATAGGTCCAACTACCTAGTATTGGTTAGCTTGTTCGCGGTCTCGCAATCGTGGATGGATAACATACTGGACCTATGAGCGGCCCAAGAGTAAACATGGCCATAGCTCCACCTCTTTCCTCCTTCTCCAAAAGGTCGGCAATTGTACCACCTCCCGTTGTCATGAATGGAGAGGCAGAAAGTCCAGTCAACAGGCGGAAAACAAGAAACATGGCGACATTGGTGCTTCGTGCACAACCGACAGTAAAGCCCATGTAGCAGATACAGGCCACCCGATAGATGGGTACACGGCCAAAGACTTCGGACAGCGGGGCGAAGAATAGACCCATAGCGAAGCCGAGCGAAGCTATCGTGATAGTCAGCACTTCGATTGTGTTGTTGTTGAAGCCGAATTCATGCTCCATAATGTTGGCTCCTGGGGCGAACATAGTAGTGGCAATGTTGCAGTATAGCACGGATGCGCTGATGAGCGCAATGTTTGCCATTTTGCATCCCTTGGACCAGTTTCGAGGGTTCTTAGGATCGTCAGGTCCGTCCCAGTCGACAAGATTTGGGTCTGCGGCGGCGGCAGCCTCATCAGCAGCTGGATCACCCTTTTCCACATCCTTCATCCCATGCGCAACTTGATTTTCGCCAAAGCTCTTTTCCCCAGCAGCTGATTCTCTTGTCTCGAACTTCTCACCACCGAGATCTCCATCATCGGTAACAGCTTTAGGATTGTTGACATTGACGATGGTTCTGCTTTCGTCATCGTACACAGTGTGATCGCTGTTGGCCTGGCCTTCTGCCATCTTGTCGTTGATAGTTGAAACGGGTAAGGTAGATATCTGCAGAGATATTCTTCGTTCTAGCGCTATGACGGGGAGACCGAAGCGATGTGAGCTGTATTGCGAGGGGAAGGATACTGTGCATCAGCAAAGAAGTTCGAGCCGTCCTATGGGCTGGTTATAAGGTCGGGATTCGGGAGCTACCCGGAGGAAGATAATCTTAATGGGCAATGCTGTATGCCGCTCCGTTTGGGCTGCTTTACTATTATTTTATTTATAAAATTAAAGTTTTTTTCAATAAAATAAAAAATTTTTTTTTCTGGAAATAT